AAAAAAAAAAAAAAAAAGATGAACCACAGTTTTCATACTTGACTTCTTGTAGCAATCATCCGCGCGGTTCAAAAGATAATGTCCTAATGCTTCTTAAAAGCCCCTTGGGGCTGCTTATTCAAAGTACGTTAGCACTACTCTGTGATTGGTGTTTAATCTCGGTTTTGTCTTTTGTTCTATAAACACATTTTCTAGGGCTCGAAGCAGTTAACAAAATAAAAGAAATTTACCAAAGTGCATTAGTCATCCACGGAGACAAAAAACTGAAGGTACCTGTTCTGTCAGCAGAAGAGGAGACAAGAAACGAGTTGTCGTTGTTAAAACTCGTCGAGAACACGGGGCCAGAATGACCAATCAACTTCCTCGACTCTACAGCAGTTCTAGAGTTGTGAACAAAGGAAACTTCCCTATGGCTTCTGTACAATTCAAGAAAATTAGATAAAATAATCTATAAACACCCTCTAGTCGATAAGTTTTCCATTCTCGACATCTTTTTGAAAGATTATGAGTAGAAATTTATGGGGAGGAATTGTTTGCTAAACATTTAGAAAGAAAAAGGGTTAAAACACACGTCTAACAACTTGTTTTCCATCATCATCCCGAGTACATAGAGTAACAAGATCTTTTTCAGTTATCATTTCGATTCAAGACGGAAGTTCCGATGTTGTGCGTTTGTTAATGCAATCAATTGCAATTGCAATTGCCTGGCACCCAGGTATCCCTCCTTTAAGAGAGCGGTGCCAAAAGGTAGTGTTCAAATCGAGAGGAAAAGCATAAAAACAGACCAAATCATAACATGCAAATAAAAATCCAACCTGTGATCCATTATTCTTTCAAGTACGTCCTCTGTTGAACAGATTAATATGTCAATCAGGATTTTACTTCGTTCAAAATCTTTCGAATATAGTCCATAAAGGAACACGATTGGTATCACTTGAAACTACGAGGTAATACCCCGAGTTTTCCCTCAAAGTTTACTACGAATCCCCATTTCCTTCTCCTGGCTTGAACCAGTTCACTCTCGCCTTGTTTTTACTATACTCAAAACGTACTCTAACGAATGCATATGGGATATCTCAATAAAATTAAAGGTTCGCCTCCACTCATGACAAATCCAAATACTAATATCAAGCAGTTGATCACGTGACAACGCGTCATCTCTTGTTATCCATATTCCTAACCTGCTTCCTTATCAATTTGAGCAAGTTCCGATGGCGATTTGAGCATGCGCAGTTTCTTGGGAGTGAGGCTCCATACACGAACACTGCTATCTTCAAATCCACCGGACAGCAGGCTCGAGTCGTTCGATATACTAACCGAGTTTAAACTGCAAAATTAAATAGAAAACAAGAAATAGATTCCAAGTCAGTTGAAGCAATCAAACGTCAAATTCGTTTACAA